ATGTATTTACTTAGTACAAGTAGTACTTTTTAGCGTAGGCAAACATATTGTGCCTCATTTTCAACGTTTTAAGATTAGAAATGTCGACAAATTTGAATATGGCATTGTTCGTGTTAGATTTGTGGACAAATTGCCCGACTAACCTACAGTCTATTTTGAGAAAATATTAAGTAGAATAGAGAAGAAAAAAACAATAATAACATTTATTTACTGTTAGGGATTAATTTCTGTGTTGTCCTAATTAAAATATGAATTAGATTTTTATTTTTTGTTTCCTAGTGGAATTGAATTTGTGTTGTTTATGAATAATAGGAGTGTGTATTTATTTCCTTTTATCCAATTTGTGAAATAGTTATGTGTACTATGTATTAAGTGGGTTTTTCTTATTACTTGGGGGATTGGGGTATCTCATAGAATTGCCGTGTGTACGTCCAATTTTTTCACATAGAAATTTCTTTTATCGTCCCTGGTGTTTTTCACGTAAATCACTATATTTTTTGGCTCATTAATTTTTTTTAGAACAAGAATCCAGTGTGTAAATAGAGAAATTGTCTCAATTCTCAACATTTTTTACTTAAAACATTAATAAAAAAATAATCTATTTTACCCTCATTGAAAATAACTTTCAAGTGTAAACAAGCACTCCAAGTCGTGATATAAACTTTTCTCCACTCTCCGTGGTTCTTCTGTTTGTAGAATTTTGATAATCATTTATACATTTATCTGGGCATTAAAATATAGACATTTAGGGTTCTTTTGATTAATTATAATATAACCTATTATATATTTCGTTTGTTATGTGAAACTCGTTGACTGAAAGTGAAATTGAAAGAAAGAAGTAAAAAATGACGAAAAAGATGAAATCCAAAGTTCGGGGGACCAAATTGCACACACTCAATAGTTGATTCGAACATAATGTATTGGATTCAATTGAATGTAATTGAAAGATGAAGGATTAAAAAAATTTCAAGAAATGACTCAAGATGAACAAATGATCAAAAGCAACGGACAACAAGTATAGTGTCTTAGTGCTGTACACCTAGCGCTTCAACACTACACCTAGCGCCTTAGGGCTACGCAAAACTAGGATATCGGGACAATTTCCTATTTTGACACAAATTCTTCTTGAATTGTAATTTTGATGGGATATTCAACCAATTTTCGAACCCTATAAATACATAACATAATCATACATTAGGATAGGACTTGATCTCATGCTCTAATATTCATCGATTATCATATCAAAGGGAGGCCAATTCATTATTCCTTTGGAAGAATCTAGAAACAATTGCAAGAATTCAGTACTTCGAAGATTCAACCTTGATTTTGGACAAAGAAGAGAATGCACAACTGGTAGTCATTGAGAAGATTCAAGATTTATCATATTTTCTTCATTCGACTAAAAATTCGGGCGATATTTTACAATTTAAACATGAATTCTTATAATTTTTTGGTACATATAACTATGACATTGATGAACCCTTATTATAAAGTTTTTACCATAATTTCAATAATTTGACGTCCAACATGTGTTTATTCTTGGATGATTGTTATTTAATTTAATGACTTTCAATTAATTAGCTACTAATCGAATTATTTGTGATTTCTATTTTTATCAAGAGAGACAATAAGATATAAAGTATGTTATAACTATTGTAAATTTCGATAAGGGATAGAGATATACCGATATGCTTTGCACGATTTCTATAGATGTTTA